TTTTCAAATAGGATAGTGGAAAATTTTTATATTTTTAGGTGGGGCAATACGAGAATAAAAGAAAATGTTGCAAAATTCAGGGGTAGAATGTGAGATAAATTAAAAATAATAGAGACTTCTAACGCTAATTAATATCTAATTTTTTGAAAGTTAGAGAGAGGGGAGACAATTGGCAACCCTTACAACCATTTGACTCTGCCCTTGAGTGTTGTGATTTTTTGGAAGTTGGATGCTCATATAGGACTTGTTCTCGATCGATTAGTTTAGATTTTGCAAAATTTGATTATAAAAAGTAATTACAAAAAAAATAATCACAATCAGCGAAAATTATCCTTTAGGTGATTATGGATTTTAGCATTTTTATTATTAAAAAAATTGATAATCTGAATATAAAAGCAAACAAGAATATGAAAACTAATTATTTATAATCAGAATCCATAATCATTCAAAATAATCAGCGAATAGCAAGCCCATATTATAATAAAGACCGATATTGTATACACTTGATGAGGACGAAATGTTTATCTTCTACAATTTATGTTCAAGATTACAGGTGCTCTTTAAATGTAATTATTTCCAATAACTATTAGAACAAATATATGGAAGAAGCCTATTTTATTTTATTTTTATGGTTGTCCCTTTTGCAATAGAGAAAACTTCTATCTTCACTTTATTTATTTATTTATTTTGTAGGTACATATTAATAATATGATATCAGGATCCTAAGGTGAAAGGAAGTTTTCCATGGTTCCCAAACTACGTGAGAACACACTCAAATCTCTTCTTCTCTTTTCTTTTCTCGAAACTTAAACTTTTATTTTTATTTCTTTATTTATTTATTTACTCTTTTTTCTTCCTCTTCTCTCCTAAACTCCCAAACTAGGAGTAGGGGGTATTATAAACAAGTCCAAGTGAAATTTCCTGAATGGGAAATGATCAAGCACCCCGTCATAATTTACAACTAGGTTACAAATACCAAATTTAGAAACCAGCTGCCACTTCGACTACAATATAAAACAGTCACCTTTTCTGTTTTCTGAGTTGATTATCCACTTTGTTCTGTTTAGAGGAGACAATGGCTGGTGTACTTGTCCCTTAGTTCTCTTTTTCATAGGCAATTAGATCCGAAAATCACGTAAGCCATTAATCCGCCATTAATCCAATCGGCCCTACGAACATAGCAGCAGATAGACTAAAAAGTAATACAATAATTATTCTAAATAATAGTTGAAATAAACTCATATCCAATCCAGACAATTGTTTCCGCACGACATCATATATCAGATTTGAGGCAAACTTTTCCGCACAATTCCACACAATTACTAACCTGATTACGTTGTCCTCTGACAAAGGCAAAACTACAGCTACTTACTCTATAGTGAACTGTGTGGGCCTTCGATAGCGTCGGAAATGTTAGTATACCTGATTCAACTGTGAGTGAAACTTAGGCCCCGTTTGATAAAACTGAATCTGAATTCAGAATTCTGAATTCTGAATACTGAAACAATTAATTTGCTGAATATTAAGCACTGAAAAGAGATATATGAATATCTGAATCTTAATAATGAACATATTTATACTGTTTGATAAACATTTATAGCTTAATGCTTAATAAGCTAAATTGTACAATTTTGCCCTTCTATCTTTTAATCCAAAAAGGAAATAGAACCTATGATTTAATTAGCTTAAAATTGTTAGGTATGAAAATGACAATATTTATTTTTAAATCAAAGTAATATAAAAAATTATATTATGAAAAATTCCAAATATCGGTGCAAATATATTTTTAAATCAGAGTTTGATAAGAAAAGTCCAAATATAAGCAAAAGGAAGCTGCAATAAACAAGTTTTAAATTAACACCAAATTATATAGAAATTTAATTACTTCAATGGAAAAATGTTGAAGCAAAACAACAAAAAATCAATGTCACATACCTTGGAAATAATGAATTTGAGATCGGTGAGTACGGTAGCAATAAAAAAAATTGGGAGGAAAAAAATGACAAAATTATGAAAGAGTAGAAAGATGGAAAAAGATAAGGAGTAGACAGATGTGAGGAGCATAGAGAAATTGTAAAAAAGTCATTAAATAGGGAGAAAATAGAAGTAAAAAGCCATTAGACAGAGAATGTCAGGTTGTTTAATTAGATAAGGATTTTGGATAGAGAATATTAGGTTGTTTAATTATATAAGGATTTTGGATGTAATTAACAAACAAGGATAGATTTGGTAGATAAGATAAAGTAGTTAAAGTAAATCTCTTGATTCTTATCAAATTAAGCATTCAGTTACGATTCTTGAGCTGAAAAAAATACATACAAATTCAACACCACTTAATAAGTTCAGCAGAAAAATTTTTATTTATCAAACAGCCAAAACATCTGAATGTCTGAATGAATTTAGTTTCAGCACTTTTTTATGTTATCAAACAGACACTTAGTGGGGAAAGGCTCAGCACGACCAGAGAGATCAATAGAGAGCGAATGATCACCATCGAATCAGATGGATGCACACGCATTCATATAAATTTAGAATAAGTCATATATAGTTGCATATTAATAGAAGATAAGGTTTAAACTCTTGATCTCTCACTTTACAAAGGCTTAAAAGTCTCTCTTATGAGTGATTAGGGATGAGCAACTCCAAAATTTACTAAATTTGAAATAAATTTCGAAACTTGAATTCGGTTATTTATAATTTGATTGATAATTTAGAAATCCCGAAGTATAGATAATTGAATTAAGATTAAATATGGCCGTGGATTTTTTCAATTCAAAGCTACAAGTATAAATTAATATAGGTTCTAGGAATTAAAGATCTTGGATTCAATTATTCTTTTTCCATCCCCATTTCTTAAATCTTAAATCTCACCCCTCCCATCCGTTGAAACATATATATATATGTAGATGTAGATGTATCTATGAATATATATGTAGATGTATGTATGTGTTCATGTATATGTGTCACTCCTCTATATATTACTTAACTCTCTCTCTCTCTCTCTCTCTCTCTCTCTCTCTCTCTCTCTCTCTCAACCATATTAGTCAGTGGCCACTATACTTTCACTCTCTCATACCTCAATCAGACCTCTATCTCCTTACTTTTCACTCATCAAACACTGCGAGCATCATTTCTTACAGCAATTAGCATGAGAGGAGCTTCTAAAAAATGTTTTGCCATTTGTGGGATTTGATTGTAATTTGACCAAAGTATAGGGCATATTTTGTAATTTGGTTAAATCTCAAGGAAAGTAGATGTAATTAACCAGTTTCAAAAGTACATCCTTAACAAATCGTAGATTTGATATCCAAACACCTTTTTATCTTAACATGTGAATCCAAAAAATTCCTATTGTTGGAGGTAGGATCCTACTCGTTGGCGTAATTGTCAAGTTGCAAGTGTTTGACTTGTTAATGTAAATTTATTGTGAAAATCATATGGTTTGTTTTGTTACAATAATTTGCAAAAAAAAAGAAAAGAAATGAATATTGTTCATCTTGCATCATAAATACAATCACCAACTACCTTTTTATATCACATTTATTACATCACAAAGATTGCTACACTACTGTTTCAAATAAATTTTTTAAAACTAATCTCCTATCCAAATACATCCTATAGTGTTTAAGCTCTAAAAAGTCGAAACCTTTCATTTTTTTTTCTTTTTTTTCACCATAAAATAGCATTCATGTTTAGTTTAGAATAGTTCCAAAACTTTTGTTAAAGGTAATTACTACAAAATTCTTCTATGGATATGATAATTTTATAAAATGCAAAAAGGAAATGTAGGCGATAGAGTGGAGTATGTAAAATTTGAATAGGGCAATGTAGTCAACAAAGAAAATTTACAATATTGCAAGGAAGCAAATATGCTGCATTAAAAATATTACTAAGTTTTAAGTTTATTATGTAAATTTCTAAAACCCCTAAATTAGAGTTCTATAAAGGGTTAAATCCAAAACACTCCTTGTGGTAGCAGGTCATATATATTTTATTTATTCATTCTTTATAATTTTTCCTTTTCTTTATTCTGAAATGCCATCCTTTTCCTTTTTATATATTTCTTTATGAATTAATGTTCTAAATACTGACAATATATACACTTTCACCATTGAATGTATAATATATAATCTGAATTTGAATTTAAAATCTAAAATTTACATATATGTCATGCATCCAATCATTGTGTATATATACTATCAGTGTATATAAGATTAACTATTTCTTTATTTCCTTTTCATTCTTTTCTTCTTCTTCCTCATCATTCCCGCCATCCGAGTTGTCATCTTTGCTATTGCTACAAACTCTACCCCTCACCACTCTCACCACCACTGTTGCAAGTTCCAGCCACCTTCCTCCTCTTCCCCTTGTCACCCTTCCTTACCCTCTCTCCTTCTCTTTTTTTCTCGCCCAGCCATGACATCCATTTCTCTTCCTCTTTTTCTCTCCTCCTTCTACCACCTTTTTCCTTTTCTGCCTTCTCCTCCCTTTTTTTTTACGGAAACGATAGGAAATATATTGATTTCAAAAACAAGCTATACAAGCTTGAGCAAAGGCCCATTACGAGCTTTACAATTGTGTCGTTTGACACAGAGGACTTAGATATTCCTCATCTTGCACTAATGTAGTAGCATACTTGCTAATTCTTCTCCCTAATCTATTACACTGGTTTTCAACCAAGCTGAATGAGCAGTTCATAAACAAAGCTTTGAGCATGTGAATGTCTTCCAATTGACCAAAAAGTCTGATGTCTTGTGTCTTGTGAGTTCGCAGCATTCGTAACAACTGAGCGGATGAAACTAGCAGATTAACCTCTGGCCAAGGCATTTGTCTGATTTTGCACAATGATAATTTGAGCGCAGCAATATAATCCAGTAAAATGTCACCTGTACTTCTGTCGTGCATGGCCCATGCAGTGTGCACTTTGTTGTCTTTTGTTGCCACTATGCCAATGCCAACAATTTTGCTTTCCTTCAGCTGGCTCACCTCCACTTCAATTGTCATCTTGTTGCTGTGTCTAATATGTGACACGGTCCCTCTTCATCACTAGCTGATGTTTCTTGGCTGCTCACCCGCTTCTCTCTACTTGTCACTTCAGTGTACTCTATCCATTCTAGATGAGCTTTCTGTACAATGTCAAAAGGATTCCTGCACTTGTTGTTAAAGACCTTCTCATTTCTCGCTTTCCACAGTTGCCAGAGAATGTTCACAGTAAGAGCTTGGTGCTGGTGACCTTTATTTCTGCTTGTTGCTTCCATTAGTCCACTCCACCATTTGTTGAAATTGCCTCTACTGTCAGCAATGCCATCCCACTGCACTGGTGCGAACTTCCATACTTCCTTTGCTGGATTGCAAAAGAAAAACAAGTGTTCTATGGTTTCCTCTCCTGCGCCACATACTTGGCAAATTGGTTCCCTCATTCTAGTTCCGTAGTATATGAGCTCGTTCACTGGTAGAGCTTGGTTCAGACATTTCCAAAGACAGGTCTTGTGTTTACCCTTAATGTCCATTCTCCACATTTTGCTCCGATCTTTCTCCTTCTGTCCATTAAAGTTAGTTTCCCCTTGCCCTCTAGCTACTCCCCTTCCAATATTAGTAGTTTTCTCCTCCCCTTCCAACATCTTGTAGGCTGACTTCACAGTGTAGTTTCCATTGTTGCTTGCTATCCAGTAATTGCTATCTGCCCTTCCTGCCACACTTATTGGAATTTTGAGGATTTCTTTAGCATCTTTGCCATTGAAAGTACTGAAAATCAGTGGTCTATTCCACCTAAAGTTTGTTATCAGTTCTTTCACTTTTGTTAGGCAATAGCTTTGGGGTTTAGGAGTAATAGGTGTCCCCCTCCTTTGTTATTTGGGATCCAACGATCTTTCCAAATGTTGGTACTGCTACCATCCCCAATTTTCCTCCAAATTCCTTTCCTTACTTCATCTCTAACACTGGCCATACTCCTCCAAACCCATGAAGCAGTTGGGCTCACCTTACACTAGAATAATGATCTGTCTGGAAAGTACTTTGCCTTCATAATTTTGCTTAGCAATAAATTTGGGCAAGTTACCATTCTCCAGAGTTGCTTGCCAAGGAGAGCTTTATTAAAATTTTGCAGGTCCCTGAATCCCATTCCCCCTCTGCCTTTGTCCTTCGTAAGTTTTGACCAGGAACACCAATGCATCTTCTTTTTTCCCTTGTCTTCTCCCCACCAGTACCTTGCCATCATAGCACTAATATCTTTACAGAGTTTTCCTGGAAGTTTGAAACAGGACATGGCATACATAGGCAAGGCCATTGTGATGGCTTTTAGTAGCACTTCCTTCCCTGCATTGCTGAGCATTTTGTTTTTCCAGCTTGCCATCCTTTGTTGGCAATTATTTTTTATAAAATCAAACAGTTGCTCCTTCGTCCTTGTAATGACCATAGGTAGTCCAAGATATTTACCTTGGTTTACCATTTGGACATTTCCTAACTTTCTGCACACAGTAACTTTCTCTCCCTCTGGTGTGTTCTTACTGAAAAACACGGATGATTTGTCATAGTTTGCCATTTGACGAGAGCTTTTTTCATATTTGGCTAGAATGTTCATGAGCTCCTCAGCTTGATCTGGGCTTGCTTTGCAAAAACTAAAGTATCATCAGCAAAGAACAAATGTGATACTGATGGGCCTCTTCTACTGATACTAATACCTGACATCAGTTTGCTTGCCTCGGCTCTTCGCAGCAAGTTTGATAGACCCTTAGAACAGATTAAGAACAAATAGGGGGACAGAGGATCCCCTTGTCTTATACCTCTCTTGGGAGTGACATAGCCTTTCTGATCACAATTAATCTTGAACGAGTATGAGACAGTTGATACGCATTTCCATTTCCAGTTTATCCATCTCTCTGAGAATCCCATTTTCTGTATGATTGCACCTAAGAATTTCCACTCAACCCTATCATAGGCTTTTGCCACGTCAAGTTTTAATGCCATACACCCTACTGAACCTTGTCTTTTGTTTTTCAGATAATGGAGATATTCATGGGACACAATGACATTATCTAATATTTGTCTCCCTGGAACAAAAACTGCCTGGTTCTTGCTTATACAACAGTCCAGAACATGTTTAAGTCTGTTGGCAAGCACTTTGGAAATGATTTTATACAACACATTGCAAAGACTTATGGGTCTGTACTGTTTAAGATTGATTGGCATCTCAACTTTGGGAATCAAAGAGACAACCTTGTGATTAAGAGACTTTAGCATGAAACCTAAGTGGAAAAAACTCTGGATAGCTGGAACAACATCAGACCTGATAACCTTCTAGAATTTTTGGAAAAATAGAGGTGTCATCCCATCAGGCCCAGGGGCTTTGTTGGGATTCATAGAAAAAAGTGCAGACTTAATTGTGTTTGGTATTTCCCTCAAGATATCCTCAATGCCTTCTGTGCCCTGACTATCAAAGAGTTGTTGGTAGTAGCTAACCACTTCCTCTCCTAGTTCCTTCTCACTTGAAGTTCGTGATCCATCATCTCTTTGTACATTAATCATCCTATTCCTTTTCATTCTACCTTTGACACTAGCATGGAAAAACTGTGAATTTTTGTCCCCCTCCTTCAACCAAGTAACTCTAGATTTTTTAGACCAGTACATTTCCTCATTAGAGTAAGCTCTCTTAAGTTGAGTCTTAAGGTCATCCATAGCTCCTCTGTGAAACTCAGTTGACTCTCTAAGCCTCTCCATGTCTGCCTTGATTCTGTTAATCTCTTTCCTAGAGTTATGCTGAAAACTATTTTTCCACTTCAGAAGAGCCACTCTACAATTAGAAATCTTTCTAGTGACTTGGTACATTCTTGATCCTTCCACTTCTAATTTCCAAACTTTCTCAATCACTTGTGTAATCCTTTCTTGCTGTATCCATCTTTTGTCCAAAATGAATTTTTTCCTTCTTTTGGCCTGTTCAGGTTCAGTATCAACCATAATCATACTATGATCTGAGCTGTAATTGTCGACATGTTTGCACCTTGTTTTGTCAAAAATCTGGAACCAGGTATGAGTACAAAGCATTCTATCCAACCTTTGTTTAATTTCTCCTTCATTTTCCAGTTATTACACCAAGTCCAAGGATTTCCATCAAAACCTACATCGATTAGCTCATTATCAGCAATGAATTGCTTAAAATCTCTAAAGGTCCACTCCTCTCTTCTTCTTCCTCCCCATTGCTCTTCATTGGACACTATATCATTAAAATCTCTTGCAACTATCCACCTTTGTCCCCATAGTCTTTTCCTTTCATTCAACACTTTCCACTGATTCTTCCTAGTTGCTGCATCACAACTTGCATATATACCAATCAGCCACCATTCGGTATGTTGATTGTGGTCCACTATATGAGCCTCAATGGTGAACGCTGTCTTATGTATTTCTGTAATTTTCACTTCCTATTTCCACAAAAGGGCCATCCCCCCAAACCTATTCATAGACTCTACAATCGCACTATGATCAAAATTCTTCCTTTTCCTAACAGTCTCCATATACTTGTCCCTATTCTTAGTTTCACACAAGAAAACAACACTTGGGGAGAGGAGGTTGCAAGCCTCCCTCAGCTGGGGAATTGTCAAGGGGCTCCCTGCACCTTGGCAATTCCACACCAGCACTCTCATTGTCCACTTGGGGACCCATTAAGGCTGGTCTCCCTCCCACCTTCAGCAATCTCTAACCGTATTTCCAAGGACTGATCCATCTTATTCCTTTTTAAATTCAAGCACTCACCTTCAGCTACTTCCATTTCAGTATCCTCTTGATACGATTTCCTTTTTCCTCTAGTCTCTATTTTACTGACATTTCCATCCGTTTCACCTAAAGAAGTCCTCTTCCTACTCAGAGGCTTAAGTTGTCTTCTAATCCTAGTGTTCATCTTCTGGATAGCCACCTGTTTCCTCTCCTGTATCTCATTTTCTACCTGCAGCATTTCTTCCATCCCTACATCCCCCTCATCCACAGTTACAACATTTGTTGCCTCGCTTCTCCTCTCCCTCTCAATGTTACATTGATCTCCTGACCTCATATCCTGTCCTTCAGTAATGCTATTTGTCTCCTTGTCTTGTACCTCAACAGGTGCTGAAACTCTCGGATTTCTGCTTGTCCCCTCTAAACTATCCTCCTGGCTCATTATACTTGGAATTGCTTGGGCCTCCCTTTCCTGTCCTTCTATCACCTTGGTTAGCACCTCTTTTCTCATAACCCTTTGTTCATAGCCTCCCTTCGTGCCATTCTCCAAACCCTGAGGGTCCTCACTTCCTCCTTTTCGCACCAGTTCCCCATCCTTAAAACCCCACAGCACCTTATCTTGTCTTCCTCTACTTATGGTCTGTTCAGCCTGTGAAATTCCTTTATTCCAGTTACCTCTTAGCCAGGGTCTGTATTGGTTATCTGATAGTCCTCTCCCTATGGTAGGAGAAGTTTTACAATTTCTCTCACTATGTCCAACTATACCACACCCATAACAGAAGTCCGGGCACCGTTCATACTTGAAACTAATCTGTTTCCCTACTCCACTAAGCTTTACTACTGATCCTCTCACCAGTGGACAGGAAATATCTACGATCACCAACATCTTCAAGTGCCTCCCTTCCTTTCCTCCCGTTTGGGGTATTATAACCTCCTTCAGTTCTGGAAAAATGGATCCAATTTTCCACCCAACCTCTTTCGAGATCCAATGTACAGGAAGATTCCACACCTGTATCCACAAAAGAGCCAACTTAAAAGCACCATTGTCCTCCTCTATCCCATTATACCATCTTCTGAGGATCAATATTTGGCTATCTACTATCCAAGGTCCTCCATTCAGAATCCTCTCTCTATCAGTAGCACTCAGAATGATAAACTGAAACAAGTTAGGTCCTAACTCCATAACAGTCAACCCACGAGGATAGCCCCAAGCAGGCTTACAAAATTTTTCACCCCCACAAAATTAATCATCTTCTCCCCTATCACTCTTCCTACCAGACTCAGCTGGCACTCCTGAATACCCGTGTTAGCATCTCCCAGTTCAAGAGCTGTACCTCCCAACTCTTGCTCAGAGAGTGCGAATCTCTGCATTATAGAAGCTAGTTCCTCTGCCATCGACACTTTACCTCCCAGGAAAATACCAAACACAACTTTTGATTTTGAAAGCAAAGCTAACCAAGAGCTGATCCCGCCAAGCAAGAGAAAAGTCTGACCTTTACTGACCAAAAAGGACTACTACTCCTAAGACTTACACAAGCAGAAAATAAGACCTACAGCCACCAGAGGAAAAAAAACGAAGAAGAAATAAAAGACAAAAACACGATCGGACAAAGTTCAGAAGGTAGAGCAAGCAAAATCCATCGCTCTACATTTTATTTTCCTATCAAAAGTTTACTCAAATTAGGATTGGAACATGGTTATGACAAAGGCACGATAGATTTTTATACAATTGGAGTTTTTTATGCTAATTGAGAAAATCTAATTTTGAAATCATGTTTGTATGTGGTGCTAGTGCTATTGATTAGTGATGGAGATGGTGGTGAAAATGGTAGTGATAGGTGGTAGAGATGATAACTTGGTGTTTAGAAAACGTTACTACTGTCCGGTGTTGATGCAAGATAGAAGGAGAAACAAACAAAAAAAGGGAGGGGGGAAGGGGATGAACAATCACAAGAGTGAATTAAAAAAAAAAAAAAGAAGTGAAGAAAAAATGAAAAAATTACAAAGGGATAAAAAAAATTATTAATTTGGATAAAAGATTGTGTTGTTTAGTTGCGTGCACATCACTTGCAAGCAACTTAGCTAGTAAGGGGTTAATTTTCAGATCAGTTTGAACTACGATGGGGTTTTATGGGTCTTTCTGAAAAATAGGGAGGTTTCCCAAATTTTTACGATATCATAACGGGGTTTTCTGAATTTTACCCTTCTATAATCATAAAACCCTCATCATAATATTATTTTTTTTAAAAGAAAACCCTCAAAAAAAATCCATTGAAGCGTATGCAAATACATGAACTTAATACTTACCCAAAAAAAAAAAGTACATGAACTTAATATTATTTTTTCTTTTACATGCGTAGTACATTTTCATATTTCTTGCTCTTCTTAATAATCTTCGAGAGGTCGTACCCACTTGATTAATTTATTCATTTGACGTTCTCTTCGTAATAAATCCCCTCCTTGGTTGTTTTAGCGCATGTTATTGTTGTTTTCGGAAGATCTGCTTTTTATTATAACTAGTTTTTTAGGCCTCGCGCTACGCGCGAGGTTGCCCTAACTTGTGTTAATTTAATTTAATTTTATGGAGTAGGTTAAACGATGATAATTGGTAATATGATTGCATTCGATAATTAGAAAGTCATTTTGTAT